TTTAGTTTTTTTTCCAGTGAAATAACTTATAGTACGGCTGTTTTGAGAAGTTTTTACACTACACTGCAATCATCCAATCAGAGTGAAAAAACACTCCTAACGTCATAATAGTGTGACATCTCACTGAACGCTCAGCCAGGACACAACATTCAGTTTGGCAGTGATTTTAAGACATGTCTGACTGCTTATCCCTAATTAACATCTTCATCTAATTCTGCTATGCCCTATTTTCCATTCTGATATTAAGGATACACACTATAAACAGTATACAGCAAAAGAATAACCAATGGATCTCTGAATGTTCCGGTACATTTAAACCTTATGAATGCAAACCTTAACTAAAACCCAAAGGATTCACGAAATAGAAATATGCATGTATCTATCGAGATGAGACGGCATGATAGCATAGCCGGTGACTCAGACTCTCAGCTCATAAATCAGAGTGGATGAGCATCAAGTGGAACTCTGCAGATCGCTCATGATTAGCATACAAACACTGTACACACCAGGCTCTCCATGCTGACCCAGTGGCCCTGAAGGCACCTAAAAATGACTCAGAAACACACACACACACAAAAAAAGAAAGACCAACAGGAAGAACCCATTACATAAGGCATATGAAGTGATTCTTCTTTTAGTTAATCTTGATGCACTAATATAACAAACTAAAACATAAATTAATAAAAATGACAAAAACAACTAAATGATTACAATTTTAATTCAAATGAAAATAGAAAAATAAAATCTAAATGAAAACATTAACAAACTATAATAGCATCTCGATACTAAAATATCACTGGTTCGGAATGAATGACATATGGTGAGTAAATTATTACATAATTCACATTTTTGGGTAAACCATCCCTTTAAAAATAACCCATTGAGGGGTTCAAAACTGCAATCCTCTTTTAGTTACCAGCTCAGATCTTATCCAAAGAATATGTTTCGTTTCACACTTTGAAGGATTATTCAGAGAAAACTATTACAAATGCATGATGTGGCCAAGCTGAGAAGAATTTAAAAGTAGAACAGGTTGAGAGCAGGAATAGTGTGTCGGAGTGGGCCGGGGTACTATTGATCCTATGTGTATTCACAGAACATGGTCCACCTACAGATTTCACTTCTGAACAGCTCTGTGGTCATGACCCAGTGTCTGAAGGAGAGGAGGTTACCAGAGACCGCCTTCACAGGGTGCAACAGTCCCCCGGACAAAGCCAAATCCAGGGGGTGAAAGGGAGGTTCAATAGTAAGTGAGCACAAAGCGTGCACATTATTCTAAACTGTGTTGAGAAAGCAAAAAAAGAAAGACCAACAGGAAGAACCCATTACATAAGGCATATGAAGTGATTCTGAGAAGAAAATAATATTTATTGCTACACAGCTTAGGACCAATAGTTATTTTAAAAAAAACCTGAAAGCTTAAAGGGATAGTTCACCCAAAACTTAAAAGTGTGTCATGATTTACTCACACGCCGTTCCAAGTCTTCCATTCAATAAAAGTCAAAATTGTTTGGATCCTAACGTTCTTCAAAATATCTTCTTTTGTGGAAGAAAGAAACGCAGTGCAGGGTTGGAACAAGGTTATTCTAATTAAATAAAACAAACTAAAATGATAAAAACAAAAACAAAACAAAAGCATTTTTATTACTTGAAATAAAATTATTAAAATTTTTTATATATATATATATATATATTCACAGAACATGGTCCACCTACAGATTTCACTTCTGAACAGCTCTGTGGTCATGACCCAGTGTCTGAAGGAGAGGAGGTTACCAGAGACCGCCTTCACAGGGTGCAACAGTCCCCCGGACAAAGCCAAATCCAGGGGGTGAAAGGGAGGTTCAATAGTAAGTGAGCACAAAGCGTGCACATTATTCTAAACTGTGTTGAGAAAGACTATCTTTTGACATAAAAGCCATTTCTTTGACAGTCAACTAATCGCAATATGACAATGATTTAAATTCGGCTTTGGCTGACAATTATTCTACAGCACAACACCTCTTTCTTTGCTCAAAAACACTATAATTTACAAGCTATAATAACAGTAACAACTGCCACAGGGCAATGACTAATTCCTTTGCAAATGAGCAGTTTCTTCCTTCAGGGCAGTCTGAATACTGTCTCATTACTCCAATGCAGCTGCTTTAATTTTAATTCAAGGCATTTTAGAGGCTCTTTTGTTTATGTTGATAGAGATGGACCCTAGAGCAGTGATTCTCTTTTTGACTCCAAGATTTGAAGGCCAACAGAATATCTGCAATATTTCCGACAAAGCTGCTCATTTTCAAAAAAAATAATTTACAGAAACCTGGAGTGAATATACTACAATAATAAAAAATAAGTATAATATCATTTGAGATATATAAAAATGTTAAAACTCCAGATCATGAGAACCACGGTACTTAAAAAATAAAAAAATATGATTTCAGCTAAAAACTTGATTTTTAGCTGTTTCAGCTTATTTCAACCTAGTTTTGTATAATTTTTAATAATTTTTAATAAAAAAAATCATCTTTAAGCCCCCTTAAACAGTAAGTGTGCTGATGTCCCCTGGTGGGTCCTGGTCCCCAATTGAGAACTACTGCCCTACAGCTAATCTAAAACTTTCACTAATTAATTGGTCATGATTAATGAAAAAAGATGAATATGCTCAGCATACAGTATGCAAATTCCTCATGCATTAACATTAATTAAAACTCCAGATCATGAGAACCACGGTACTTAAAAAATAAAAAAATAAATAAATATGATTTCAGCTAAAAACTTGATTTTTAGCTGTTTCAGCTTATTTCAACCTAGTTTTGTATAATTTTAAATAATTTTTAATAAAAAAAATCATCTTTAAGCCCCCTTAAACAGTAAGTGTGCTGATGTCCCCTGGTGGGTCCTGGTCCCCAATTGAGAACTACTGCCCTACAGCTAATCTAAAACTTTCACTAATTAATTGGTCATGATTAATGAAAAAAGATGAATATGCTCAGCATACAGTATGCAAATTCCTCATGCATTAACATTAATATTGCTAATATTGCATGGCTCAAAACTTTGTATGAGAGTGTCTTATCATGCCGTTAACATGTTGTGTCTGTTTAGGATTCTGTCTACTGTTGTTCTGTTACATCGGTCATTTCTACTCAGCATGCAAAGCCGTTCGCATTGATATACCTGCCCTGCATACCGAACAGCTCAGGCTTATGACACACACACATAAATGCACCGAGGTAAAGGAATGCCATCCCATTCATTACTTCAATCCGTGCCTGAATGCTTTACGTCTACAGCTGGATTTTGACAAGGTCATTTCAATGGCAGCTGCAAAGTTTTTCTGCTCGAATGCAACAATCTAATCCATTCTGCCTGTGATCAGTAAGGATGCAATGACTTACAGCATCCCTGAGGCACCTGGGCCAGACGTTAGGGTGAGAAGGTGAACCTCATGCCATGTTATAAATTATGACAGATGTGATACACATGAGCTAAACAGACACTAGTTATGTAATAACAGGGCTGTAGTCAAGACTAGCAGTCAATATGAGCTTTTCATAAATAATAATGAAATCAAGCCAGTATTATGTTGTCTTAGAATAACGTGTTGATTCAGTGCCTGTGGTGGCTGAATCATACTCTTGGTTACAAGACCGGCAGTTTTCCAATCATTATATAATTCACTGTGACACAGGAACACCAGGGCCAGCACGAGTCAGTCACGGATGATTGACAGATCGAGTCAGTCTTGTGCATACTTGCCTGTTGCAAGTGTATCAGGAGTAAAGGACAGTGTCAATGCCTTGATCTAGACAAGATGATGACTCTTTAGGCTGCCTTGCTGGAAAATCCATCTTAGGCTGGTAGCCTTTAGCTGGTCAAACATGGTCTAAGCTGATTGTTATCATTGGTGAGACTATCTTAGACCAGCAAACCAATTTAAGGTGGTCAAGATGGCTTTAAGAATAAGACAGAAGTTTTAGATGGATTTTACAACAGCATTCTCACAAATGTGAAATTTCCGTTTATGAAATAAACAGTTTACTGAGAGACCTCTGTGTTTTTCTACTCTCAAGAGTAATTAACAAAATAAATGAATAAGTGTATATATTAAGTAAGTTGTGGGATCCTTTACTTAAAGGTAAAGGTAGGTGAAATTCTTCATTTTTCCCCCAAACTTGTATGAAATCTATTTTCCTTTGCTGAATATAAAAACAGAAATTCTGAAGAATGTTTTTGGTGATTGAACATGTAAAGCATGCAAAAGCACTGTAATAGTACAATAACCATAGTATTGTGTGAGGAACAGATCAAAATGTAATTTGTTATTCACTAATAATAATGTTCACTTCCATTGAGCTGATCATTGAATCGCCGATATGAACTTGAGAGCCCTATCAGTAATAAAAATGATTCACTGGAAGATTCAACACGCATGACATTCCGAGTTCTGTCATGTTGCTTACTCTGATCAAATATTTACATTAAATGAAGTCGCTTTCGTTCTACTCCTCACATTCTTTATCGTATGGCTCTCACAGACTTTTATGATACTTTTTAACATGATATTTTTATGGCTTGACATTTTCATTCACCAGATATTTGCATATAAAAGACACAGATTGTCCGCAAAATACATACAGGTCTGGAACAACATGAGAGAAAGTAAATGATGACATAAATGTCATTTTGAGGAAAATCGTCATTTTAATGTGAATATCAATGTACTGAATTTTCGCGTTCAGTAGATAAATGAAATAGTAACGTTAACAAATACACTCGTATTCGGGACGTCGGTCTTCTACATGACCGGTTTGCTCCGACAAATATCACGGCTGACCTTTCTTTTCTCGCATGAATGATAGTTGAGATCCCCACGCGCCGTTTTGTAACTTCACCGGCAGTGTGCGCAGAGCTCTGAAGCCACACGTACGAATGCAGAACTGAGCTGAGCTGAAGGGCTTCATGCGGTGCAGAACCCAAAACGAGTTCAGATAAAAGCAGACACTCACCTAACTTTGGCTGCCACCGAAGAAATCGCATCATTTCTCAGATTCTTCCTTTTGGACACTGCAGTTCCCATGCTGACATGGAGACAACGCTTGCAAGAAAACAGCACATTCCAGATGTCAAAGCATTGAAGAAAACGCGTGAAAAAAATGATTGAACACGTTGGTTTTAGGATGCGGATCCTTCTGCCTTTACATGAAGGTCTTTTTATAGCATAACACAAAATTCTGGAGGAGATGCGGGACAGAGGATGCTGCCGTCTCCTCTGGCTAGTGTCAACTAGTTAAAGAAAATACACACGCACGAGCAGGTCCCTCCCCTCCTCGCTCTCTCTCTTCATTGAGATGAGAAAGATACGATGGCTTGAAGAGTGTTTATGGTAGTGGGAGTGCATGAGGGTTCAGACAGGAAACCCAGTGGGACCATATATGGAGCGACCACTCCTCCAATTCCACCCACTCTTAAAGCAAGTCCAGCCTAATGTCAGGTACAGAATGAGCTGGAGTTACCGGAACACACGCGCAAATACCGCAGTACTCATAACGTTACCAGAATCATAATGTTATTATACGGGCATAAATATGTAGTTCAATAATGGTAAAATACTGTACATAATGGTTTATCTATCTATCTATACTCTGTCTATCCATCCATCCATCAGTCTATACTCTCTGTCCATACTCTTTGTCTCTCCATCCATCTGTCCTACCATCCATCTATCCTCGCTGTATATCCATCATCCATTCACCCGTCCATCTATCTATCTATATACTGTCTATCCATCCATTTATCATCCATCATCTATCCATCTACCTATACTCTGTGTCTATGCATCATTCATCCATCCATCCATCCATCCAGTTATACTCTGTCTATCCATCGATCATCCATCATCCATCCAAGCTATCTATCTATCCATCTATCTATCCACCCATCCATACATCAACCCATACTCTCCATCCTGTCTTCCCATCCATCCATAATTTCCATCCTGTCTACCCATTCATCCATACGGTGTATCCGTCCACCCATACTCTCCATCCTGTCTACCCATCCATCCATCCATCCTCTCTATATCTATCTATTTATCATCTATTTACCTGTAAAAATTTTATATAATCTAAAAGAATGCTTCAAGTGGTAATGTCTAAATTAATTGGTACAGCATCATTACAGGTACCTAATGACGTTTGTCATTAAGGAACACCGAATTATTTTGCTGTTACAATAAAATGTCAAAACCATTTTACTCCATATTAAAATACAAAAAAAGAAAAAAGAAAAATGAATAAAATACATCATAACAATGCACAAAGTACTTGTTAAAAACCATAATCATTTAAAAGTCTAGTCTACACATATAGGGAATAGGTGATGTCCTCTATTTTTCTGTTCAACATCTGGGGATTGTCAGTTTATCTGAGTTCCTTGTCTGGCGTCCTGTCAACTCCTCCCTGAATGGTGGTAGCCAGTCTCTAAAACTAGACTTGTATAGTTTCCTAGCAAAATCAAGACACAGTTGGACTCGTCTCTAGTGTGCACAATCTAAGAAGGGAGAGGGCATCAGAATATCCTTGATACCTTTGACCCAGTATAATTTTACAGACCTGTTTCTGCACCCTTTCCATCCTTTTAACTTGATCGGTAGTCAACAAACTGTGCCAAACAGGTACTGCATACTCTAACACAGGGTGCACATACCCTGTGTAGATGATAACCAATTTTTGATCTCGAACACCAAATTTCTTTAGCCAGAGTAGAGCAAACCGCTTTCTGTTGGCTGAGGACAGCATTTGATCTACTTGACCATCCCATTTCAAATCGCTCTGGATTGTAACCCCTAAAACTTTAAAGGGGTCATATGATGTTGCTAAAAAGAACATTATTTTGTGTATTTGGTGTAATGAAATGTGTTTATGCGGTTCCACATACTGTACATTATTGTTTCTCCTCTATGCCCCACCTTTCTGAAACGCGTCGATTTTTACAAAGCTAATCGTTCTGAAAAGCGAGGTGTGCTGTGATTGGCCAGCTATATCTGTTTCATGTGGGTAACATGTAAAACCTTGCATTTTTTTTTTAGTTGAGTTTCATTATGTTTCTCTACCCAGATGCCAGGATCATTCAACGCCTGTCCGGAACGCCATCTTCATAGAGAGGGCACTAAGTCCAACTGACTGAAGGGGCTCAAATGGATCTCTCTGTAAGGCCTGAAGGACCACTTCATAATCCCAAGAGGGGATGAGGCACGGCCTTGGAGGATTCAACCTCCAGGTGCCTCCTAGGAATCTGATAACCAGATCATGCTACCCCACCGATCTGCAATCTACAGTGTCGTGATTTGCTGCAATAGCGGCCAAGTACAGCTTGAGTGTAGAAGCAGACAGGTGCCTGTCCAGGCCTTCTTGAAGGAAGGATAGCACAGATCTGATGCCACATCTCAGAGGATCCTTCTCATGGGAAGAACACCAATTCACGAATATGTGCCATTTCAGGTCGAATAGCCGCATAATGATATTCAATGATATCCCTAGCCTGCGCAATGATATTCACCACTGTGGTTGAAAAGACCTCTGAGTTTCTCCTGGTCGCATCCAGAAATCAAACACGGAGGTTCTAGAAATCTGGGTGCGGGTGCCAGATTGTGCCTTCCCCTGGGAGAGGAGGTCTCTCCTCAGAGGAATCTGCCAGGGAGGAGCTGATGCTAACAGCACAAGGTCTGAGAACCAAGTCTACTTGGGCCAATAATGTGGCACAAACAAGAGTTGTTCCATGTCCTCCCTGACTTTGCACAGTGTCCATGCAATGAGGCTCATTGGGGCATATTCGCATAGACCTGGGTCAGCTGTGTGCCAGTGTGTCCATTTCTAAAAGGGGCCTCGGTCAGGTAACCCACATTGAGCAATGGATGGATTCTCGTGAGGACAACAGATCTATCTGCGCCTGACTGAATCTATTCCAAAACAGCTGGACTGACTAGGGGTGAAGCCTCCACTTACCTTGGAGCGTGACCTGCCATGAGAGGGAGATTGCTACACGATTGAGGTCACCCGGAATGTGAGTGGTACGCAGAGACCTGAGTCTCTGCTGGCTCCACAGTAAGAGATGGCGGGCGAGGTGGGTGCCTCAGCGCCATGCCCATCTCAGGACTCAGGTATGAAGCCCGTGGTGAAGCAGTCTCATATGCATCAGTCCCCTTGGCGTAAGCATGGCTGAGGATGCCATATGCCCCAGGAGCCTCTGAAAGTATATGAGAGGGACTGCTATCTTGTACTTGAGCGTTCTCAAGCAGTTCAGCACAGACCGAGCACAATCCTCTGAGAGGCGTGCTGTCATAGTGACCAAGTCCAATCTATACAGAAAAAAAGAGATACTCTGCACAGGGAAGAGTTTGCTTTTCTCTGAGTTGGCCCAAAGCCCCAATCTGGCTAGGTGGTCGAAGACCATGTCCCTGTATGTGCAAACCAACTCTCACGAGTGAGCTAGAATGAGCCAGTCATTGAGAATGAGAATGCGAATGCCCACTTCCCTAAGAGGGGCAAGGGCAGCCTCCATGACTTTCGTGAAGATGCGAGGAGACAGGGACAGGCTGAAGGGAAGAACTTTGTACTAATATGCCTGTCCTTCGAAGGCAGACTGAAGAAATGGTCTGAGTCATGAAAGCACACGTCCTTCAGGTCTATTGCTGCAATCTCAGTACCTGACACGTTAACACGTGTGTTTGAGGGTTCGAATTCTGAACGGGAGCTTGTAAAGTGGTAACAGAATGCCACTGAACTTCAGTGGATTCCTGGCGAACTGAATTGCATAGCCAAGCCGAACGGTCGCACTGTGGCTTGTCTGTTAGGTCACTCCACTCAATCCTGATGCTCTCTGCTGCCTGGGTAAGCATGGCTGCCATCTGAGCGTCAGGCTCAGACCAACGCACAGCACCCAGAAGTGCCGGAAGTGCCATCGTGAACTCTGAATGAGAGATCGAACCCACGCTGAGGCAGGCTCTCAAACTCACTCAGAAACTCTACTGGAGAACATGTGCTGTTGGAGGAATGAGAGGTCCGTGGGAATTCATCCGGCGGAACCATTCCCGCAACATCTCCTTGCTCTCCTTCAGTGCACATCCTCGTGGCCTTGTACCCGGAAGTAGAAGGGCCAGGACAGGAAGGAGCTGATGTGACTCATGGTCTTTTAAAAAAATGCAAGCCACGAGCACAACGTGCCAATAGCCATGTCCTCACAAGAAGGACGTAAACCATCCACAAAAGCTGCTTCACTGAGCACAGCGATTGTGCCTGTCAGAGGGTGAGATGTACAAATCGCAACCAGAAGTACACAAATGGAAAAGCATGTTGTAAACACAAACAAATCCATTCATGAAGCTCTTTTAGAGAAATTTCTCTTTTAAGAGGAAATTTGCTCTCAAAGATCGCCGTTAAAGCACCCTGGGGTACTCTCACTACACTTATGTGTATGGGTAAAGGAGAAACCGCTGCTTGTGCCATAGATCCAACGATGAGGAGATTGAAAGGTGAATGCAGTGCTGCATCTCCCAGTGAGAGCTGGGAGATGCAGCAAATGCCAACACTGGCCTATTTATACCTGCATGTCCGGGGCGTGGCCAGCTATGCAAATTTTGCTTGCCAATTTCATTGGGCTTTTTCAATGATGTCAGAGGTGTCTGGCCTCCCAAGTGCAACCCCTAGTGTCGGAACTTCGACACAACATCGAAGTGACCAACTGAAAGGGAAGAATATATATTACAGTGCTTCTGGGTTTTTTCCGTGGCCGACACCATTTTTTTAAGTAAATAATCCGTGGTAGCCCTGGGCTGTGAGTGTGCGTGGTGGGACTGCCGATGAAGAAAAACAGAAATGAATGAATGACAAAATGCCTTTTCTTTAACACAGTACCGAGACATGCAGCACTATGTACAGCATGTGCTGGCGATAAAGCCAATATAATTAGTTAATTATCCTCACACAGACTGCAGTGGATGTTCACATCATGCACAGCTAAGCGTTACAGATTAATTATTTTAAAAAATGTATTAAAAACAATTCCCCACCTCTGCATAATAGACTTATTTTCCAACTGAATAAAAGATCTTGTTTACTACTGGCAACATTGTCTGAAGCCTGAAGTTTTAGCAAGAAATGTCCTCTGAGAAGACAAATGTAAAATGAAAAAACTAATCGCCTAATGCACAAACAAATGCACAAATTTGTGCTTTTGTGTCTTATCCTTTCAGGTGATGATGATGATGATGATGAAGGAATGGTAAAG